ACTGTGGTCTGACCTTTCCGTTAACATTCAGTATTACTATTGATATTTCAGAACTTGTCCCTACCATTAAGTTGGCCTTTCTCTTGGTAGTTTTTTGTTCTCTTATTTGTCTGTCTTTAGTTTTTCTGGTATAGTACTCCCTTCAGAATTTCTTGAAGAGCTGGTCAGTGCTGGTAGATTCTTCCAGGGTTTGTTTATCTGAGAAGGTTTTTATCTTTTCTTCCCATATGAAGGATAATCTTGCTGGATACAGTATTTTTGGTTGAAATTGTTTTTCACTTAACACTTTGAATATATTTTCCCATCCTTTCCTTGCTTGTATTGTTTCTAACTAGGGGTCCAATCCTTTTTCTTTCTTTTTTTTTCAAGAGCACTGCTGTTTGACTTCTTCCAGTCCAACACCAGCACAAAGTGAAAAGTCAGAATCCATGTGCATCTGAGCTGGGCTTTCCCTGCCCCTTTAACCAGAAAAAGCCTCTGCTGATGGGATATCCTTTGAAAGTAACTTGACATTTTTCTCCTGCCAATTTTAGTATCTTATTTCTGTTTGTGGTTTTGGTTAATCTGGCTATGATGTACCTTGAAGAAGATCTTCTTGGGTTGATTCTATGTGGGGCCCTTAGTATATCTTAGGTCTGGATATTTGAATGCCTTTCTAGGTTTGGGAAGTTTTCTTCCAGGATTTCTTGAAATAGGTTATCAATGCTTTGATTAATTTCTTCACCTTCTGGGATACCAATTATCCAGATGTTTGGACATCTAATCGTATCTAGTATTACTCATATATATGCTCATTTTGAGGGGTTATTTTCTCAGTCTTTTTGGTGAATTTTTCTAGATCAGAGGTTCTATTTTCTACATCTGAGATTAGATCTTCTGCATGATCTAGTCTTCTTTTAATACTTTCAAGGGAGTTTTTGATTTCCTATATCACAGCCTTCATCTTTAACAGTTCTGTTTGATTCTTTATTATGGCATGTATTTCTTCTTTCAGATTGTGGAAGAACTTCCTCACCTCCTGGAACTCATTGTCTCTTTTCTCCTGAATCTTCTGCAGTTCATTGTCTCTCTTTTTTTGCACTTCTGTTAGCTTTGTCACTATGAATAAACTCCTGACATTTCCAGGAGTTCCATTGTACTGTCTACAGATGATGAAGGGCTGTTCTTTCCCCTTGGGGGAGATATATTTCCTTGATTTCCCATATTTCTCGTGGCTCTGTGGTGGTGGTTTCTGGTCATCTGATGAATTACACGTTACTTCCTACCTGGCTTTTCACGGGGTGTTGAGCCGGAAGGAGGAGTTTGAGGTGAGGCTTTTTTTTTTTTTTTTTTTGAGAAAAAAGGAGGGCAGGGAAAGCACACCTCAGATGCACATGGATTCTGACTTTTCACTGGGTGTTGGGCCCGAAGGAGCCAAACAGTAGTGCTCTTGGAAAAAAAAGAAAAAAAAATTGCATTTGAGAATCATGAGGTGCCTCAAGGGAGTGACCTGCAACTCCTTATGCTGTCACAGAACTCACAACTGCACATAGCCAAACTCACCTACTTTCTTTAAACCTGTATTTGCATATGACATCATGGGGTCACCAGGCCAGTTTTGACAGGTTTGATAACACACCCAAGTTCTTGGGAAGCCAATGACTTATCATCACACAGGTTCTCATGGGGATTATTTGCAGCAAGAAAACTTCCTGGGAAAAAATAGTTCAGTTATGATGGAGCAAGAGTTGCTGGCGAAGGGCAGAGGAATACTCATTTTATTTAAAAATGATGTTTTATATATACTGAAGGATTCTGAGTAGCATCTTCACTGAGAATAAAGTTTGGTAAAGAGAAGATTTGATTAAGTTCTTCCAAACAAATGGACAATATTTCTTTTCTTTCTTTCCCTCACCACTCCCCCTCCAGATGGAATGTCTAGAGTGAAAGAGGCAGTATTTGGCAACGAAAAAGTAGGAAGGCCTGAAAGGGAATTTATTTTCATTCAAGTAAGACTGAATGCAGAGAACAGAATGGGAGAATATTGGTACACATTTTTAATCATTTGCCCGAATATTCCTGGGTAGCGGCTGTGATTGGCAAGTAGGCCTCTCCTCATGGTCTAGTTGGAATGATAGAGTTGAAAATAGAGGGAAGAGCAGATTTGGGGAAAGGACCAAGTAGTCCAGGTAAAGCTGAAGGGTCCTTTTGTCACACTTCCCTGGCTTCCTTTTCTTACCTGAAACTGGAGGTAGCAATACTCCTTTGATGGTTGTGGAGAGAGAGCTGCTGGGTGGGTGAGAGAGCTGGCGTCCCCTCCCCTGTGCAAGTCAAGCTGCCAAAGAAGAGCCTCCCCCACAGCTGGGCATGAGCTCATGCTCCGTAGGAGCTGTAGTAACAGGAGGGAGCCCAGCTGGGACAGGCTGCCCGCCTTCCCAGCTCTCAGCCCTCCTGCTCCAGGTGAGGCAGGAGGGGCTGGCTTAGTCCTGGATGTTCAGTTTGACCTGCAAGAGGGAGCCTGGTGTAGGGTGTAGAGCACCTCAGCACTTGAGCAGGGACCTCCCCCCCCTTTTCTTTCTTCCCTTCTTGGTATCCATCCAGTCCTATGACTTTAAATACTAGAAGTATGCATGGAAGACACTTGGACTTACATACCCTGGCCAGGACCGCTCCCATGAACTCCAACTTATGTACCCAGCTAGCTGCTTGATAGCCCCACATGATGCTTCACTAAGCCTCTCAAACCAAACATGGTGGAAACCGAGCTCTTCGTATAGCCCATCACATCTGTTCCTCCCTGTCTCCGGCATCTCTGTAACTGGAAATGACACTCTTGAAGGAGCTCCAGCCAAAATTCTTGGAGCCATAGATGATGTCTCACTTTGTCCCACCTTCTGTCATGCTGCTTTCTTTAAGATCTGGTCCTCATTATACCACTCTCGCTTCCACTGCTACCACCCTGGCCTAAGCCCCATGCTTCTTATCTGGCTTGTCACTCTCGCCTACTAACTACGCTCCCTCTTTTCACTCCTTCCTCTTCTCAGTTTAGGGATCTGTTCAACTTCGGTCATGCCATGGTGTCCCACCCCGACTCCACTGGTTCCCTCTGACTCAGAGCAGAGCCCAAGGTTTGTGTTTCACCTGCGCTGTTCTCTGCATGCCCGCCAGCTTCATCTCTCAGTACTCACCTCCTTGCTCAGTCTCTCCAACCACATCTGCCTCCTTGCGTTTCCTGGAATCTGCCCAGCACCCACACGCCTCCAGGCCTTTGCATAGTTTGCTGTCATCTCCAGGTTTCTGTCTTAGTCAGGGTCCCATCAGGAGACAACTGGCACTCAGAATAGGATAACTTGAAGATGATTTATTTACAAGGTGTGGAGTCGGGAGCAGGTAGGAGTGCCTTCTCTTGGGACTGGGAAGCCCCTGACTCCATGTCGGTGTCTGTTCTTTTCCTTACCCTTCCAGCTGCCTCAAAGGGGATGCTATGGGTGTCTCTGGGATATTTTTCCAGTTGCCATTTCCTATTCTACAAGTTTGATGAACTTTTTGATTTTTACAAGACAAGAGACAGCACTTGTACTCCTGCTGGTGGTCCCTAGGCAGTTGAGCCAGAAACATTGAAGCAGGTAGTGGAGGCTTAGGATGGATTGAAGTGTCAGGGCTCTGTTGGGGGTGCTGTTTCTTTTCCTCTCTTTGTTTCTCTCACTCATGGAAGAAATAAAAAGTTTTAAAATAAAATTTAAAAATGAAAGAGCGTGGATAGTGAAAATTTAAGATCCAGTTCAACTCTGCAGGACAATGATAAAAATTGGCTTTGAGTGGGTTGTTTCATTGCTGTTGTCTGCTGAGTCAGAGTTTGAAGTAGAAAAGTGAAATTCAGTGCTTCCCCTGACTAACCCATTCATAATTAAATTCAAAACATAGTTTTTTTGAGGCTCATCCAGGCTCATTCTTTGTGCCCTCAGATTGCCCCATAGTCAAAATACCTGATGAATCAGTGACTCCCTTTGGCCTGTAGTTTTCTAAGACAAAGAAAATCGGAAATCATTTAGAACAATGAAAAACTGACTATTTCCTGGTAAAATATACTAACTTATCCTTAGTTAAATTTTAATGAGGGAGATGGGAAAAATTGGAGATGTGCCCTCTCCCCCGTAGAGTTCATTTAATTTAGCTCCTTTGAGACTATGGAATTTTGTCTCTAGAATCAGAGCCAATTGTTCTTACTTAACTCTTGTTTCTAGGCTTTACCTTTTATTTCCAACCTTTGCTTGGTTTGAAAGAATTAGTTTTTATTTATTTACTTATTTATTTTAGAGTTTTGCCCATGTGCACTCACTGGGAAGAGAGAGAGAGACAGACAGACAGACAGACAGATACAGAGAGAAATCACCCCCCTAGGGGGATGGCCATGCCACAGTCTCTTCTCTTCCATTCCCCTTTTGGGATTTTTGAGCACATTGGGATACACATGCACATGGCATGAGCTTCAAGCTACCAGATCCAGGCCATGTAGGAGTCTAACGCCTTAACCACCCAGTTCTCCATTGCTACCAAACCCCAGTGGCACACGACAAGGGTTTTTGCTCTTGTAGCTGCTCTTGGCTGGGGTGTAGCTGACTGCTGGCTGATCTAGGCTGGCCTCAGCTGGAGCAGCTGCAGTGACTCAGCTCTGGTTGATATCTTGCTTATTCTCCTCCTGGGTCCTCTAGGGTAGCCCAGAAGTGTTCTTCTTGGTTGAAAGTGGAAACACAAAAATGCAAGCAGAAGCAAGGTCACTTGAAGCCTTGGCTCCTAGGTGGCCCACCATCATTTGTGCTTCATTTATGTGTGGGAAAATAAAAATTGACATGGAGCAGGGAAATACACTCTATTTTGTGGGGGCCTCTGATGTCACTTGAAAAGATTCATAATATAGGGCAGGGAGAAGAATGGGAGCCATTAGTGCCATCACCTACTACAAATGACTGAGAAATCTGCCAGGAGTTAAATATTCTTTCTTTATAATTTGTCTGTTTCAGAAAACCAGAACCAATGGCTGTCTTTGCAAACTTTCAGACAACATTCTTCTTAGCATTGCTGTTCTTGAGGATTTCCCAGAGTGAAGGTAAGAAGTGGGAAGAGCAGTAAAGAAAAAAATCTGAAACTTAATATTGAGGTGATAGGTGCTTTGGAGAATAGTCATGATCTTTTTTTTCTTTGGGTCTTACTTGGAGTTGATGAGCAGCTCACAAGAGGAGATTTGTGAATCTCTCCAAGCGAGGTTGTCTTCTCCTTGGCTTCCATCATCTTGATGTTTTTCAGAAAGTCCTGACTTCCTGCTCAATGCACAGGTCATTAGGGAAGTGCAAGTGTACTTCATCTGGTAGCACTTCACGATCAGTATATTTTGCCAAAGTAGTCCCTACTGTCCCCTCCTGGGTAAAGACGGTGTATCCTACCCCAGTACTGGCCACTGGGTTATAATATATAATGTTGTGTTGTCCATCAACATTAATTACATTAATTTAGAGGCTGTTAGCTTCGTAATGCATGAGTCAAAGTAAAACAAAGTTATGAGCCAATAGAAACTCTTTCAAGTCTCTGCAAGATAATATGCTGACGGGGCCATGCAGGCAACACAAGCTGGTAAGGATGTTGCCTCCCATTTTAAGGCAAGGCCTGGACTGGGAAAAAACTGAGGCAAGGCCCAGTTTACGAGCTCTCCCTTGTGTCTTTGAACTGGCTGGTATTTAATTTTTCTGCCGTGAGTTTTATTGTTGTTACGGTACTCTGCAAGGGTAAAACATTACCTCCAACCATTGCAATAAAGCCAATTAGTGATCTTGTAGGAATGTGGTTCTCTAAGACTGACACGAGAATCAGGAAGTCTAAGACTCCCCTACTTGTTTGTTTTTAAGCCAAAATTAACATATAGATTAAGTTAGTATAAACCAAATTAGCATTAGAAGCATATGTAGACTGAGTTAGTTTAAAGTTAGTTTTACTTACATACCTCTTGTTAAAGCTACAGGCCAAAGTTAACTCACACTAGCAAAGTCAGCACATTTACCACATAACAGAGACTTAGAGATAAAACAAAAGAACTCACTAATTGACAAGACTCAACAAACAAAATGCAGGAACCCA